GCCCCGGCCAGTCGGCGCCCCCCGCCCTCGAGCCAGGGCCCCGTCGGCTCTGGCCTGGCCCGCTCTTGGGGCCCACGAACTGGTCCCTCCCGGAGCCCGCGGGGCCGCTTGCAGGGGAGGGGAGGGCACCTGAGGGCAGGACCGCGCGAGGTGGCGCAGGGCTAAGGCCCGTCTGCCCGGTGAGGTATCCCTGTTCCTGCCCCTCTGACCTGCCACCTCGTTTGCTATAGCCCACCTGGCCCTGGCATGTCCTTACAATGAATCCTTCCGTGCAGAGCAAGGCGTGGGAAGAGATACTGGGGAACATCTAGCAAGCAGGCCTCTGGAAAACCACCCCTTCCTTCCGGGGACCCTGAGACCACCTAATCAGCCGGTCAAGGCCCTGGGGAATGGAAAGGAGGCTTGCTTCTCAGGCTTGGGACTGGGAGTGGTGTCAACCAACGGGCTGGTCCCGAAGAGGCAGAACCCCGGGAGAGAAAGGGAGAAGAGTGGAGGAGGCCATTTACGGTCAGGCAGGGTCAGCCACCCTTTCTTGAGACTAATGTGAAATCGGAGGTCCTGACATGGAGGTTTGGTATGGGGCTCCATGCCTGCCCTGAGCTGAGGTTCAGGACCCCTCTTCAATTACCACCACTCCTCCTGATATTCTCCTTTTTTTGGAGAGAAGGTAAAGAGAAACTGATACCGTATTAGTGAAAGTTGGAGACCCACTTTCACTGTGCAGGCCAACTGTGTGTGTGTGTGTGTGTGTGTGTGTGTGTGTGTGTGTGTTTTCTCTTCTAATTCCTTTGGTGATTTTTCCAAAGCAGACTTCTTGAGAGACAGAGTAAACGATTTAAGAATCAAATAACAAGATAAATGACTCATTTATGGTAAAGAGCACTAGCCTACCATAATTTGGTTTCACGATTTCCCCAGACTGCTGACTTCTCATGTAATGGGCATTTATGCATGGCAAAAATATTCAACAGAATTGGAGAACTGACAAGAAGGGTCCAAAGTTTTGTTTCCACTTGAGGATTGCTTTCTAGATGCATGTTTTCCAAGCCGTGAAAAGAATCCAGGGTTGAGACCAAGGCCAAGGGGAGTCCTATTGGAGCCTGAGGCAAAAGGAAAAATGTGAGTCCTTGTATACATTTATCAAAATCTATACATGTATCAAAATATGCTCCCATATTTTAAACTGAGGGGAAAGGTTACTAAAAGCTCTACAATCACAAAACATGACTATATAGAAAGTCCCAAGTTGCCCAAATCTGTCCACACCCCATTATCAACCCTCATAAAGCCACATAGCAGGGGATAGCACAGCTACCTGGGAACTTTGGGCTGGTTGGAAACGGCTTCCATTGCACAAGAGTGCAGGATCACAAAAAACCACCACCTCTCTGCATTTAAACTGTTGATGTTTTGTTCATCATAGATTTTTTTGCATTAAAAAATTTTTTTTTATTTTAAAGAGAGAGTGGGGGGGGAGGGGAGAAAGGGGCAGAGGGAGAGAGAGAATCCCAAGTAGGCTCCACCCTCAGCACAGAGCCCAACGGGGCGTTTGATCCCATGACCCTGGGGTCATGACCTGAGCCCGAATCAAGAGTCAGTTGTTCAGCCGACTGAGCCACCCAGGCGCCCCTGCGTTTATTTTTTTTTTTGAAAAAAAAAACTTTTAAAGACATGGTTTATCTTGATTAATGAATTTTTTGGCACAAAGCTACTCCTTACCCATATTGAGATCTTAGCCACCTGACACCCCATTTCCAGTTTAGTGCCCTCCAGAGGCTGCACCCAGGGCAGAGGCCTCGCTAGGGTTCCCCAATGTAGCCCTGGTCCAGTCCTCTCCGGGAACCCATCTAACCACTTCTGAAATGGCTCCTGGCAGTCCAGTCTCTGTTGCAGGACTCAACACCCTGGCTCAAAGATCCTGTAACTTGTTGACAGATATCCTGCATCAGCCCCAGCATCAGTTAGTTGTAACCAGGGGCTTTCTGTCTATCACAACCCCAAATCTTCCAACTAATCGAGAATTTAGTGTTGGAAAGATGGTGATGGCAGCAATAGACCCCCCCCAAGAACTTGCACCCCGGCTGGGGCAGATGAGGGAGGCCCCGGATGGAGGGGCGCAGGCGGGGGCTCAGGGTCCTCCTGGTGGGAAGCTGGCCTTCCTAGTCAGGAGGAAGCAAGGCTGCTGTCACTCACATGTGTTTCATGAGATGTGGACTGTGGGCCACTGAGGCCTTCAGCCATCTGCTCCCGGAGTGAGGAGGGGGAAGTGGCACGGAGTTGTCTCACATAAACCCCTGCCCAGAACAAAGGGGTCACCGCCGATGCTCATTCACCAGCCACGTGCCCCAGGGCCTCTGCGGGACGAGGAGGCAGCCACCGCTGCCGGAGAGTCCCATGTCGTCCTCCATCACTTACCAGCAGATGCAAATTCAAGCCCGCTCTTATCCAACTGGTTGCCAAGTCGGATGGTCATTGTCTTTCTTGACTTCAGACGGTTAGAATTTACTTGGGGATCAAAGGCCAAATGTGACTTTGGCGAGTAAAACTAAAACAGTCTTATGACCACCTAGTCCAGTCTTCCTGCAAGTGCCTTCGAGAAGGGAAAACACTTCTTTGTCCACACTGCACTCTCAACCAGACACTTCTCACTCTACAGTCAGCACCTTCCCCTTGGGCCCTGCTCAGCTCATGGTCACATCATTTACGGAGTCAATGATCCCTACCCCAGTCCCTCCACACCAATCCATCGATGGGTCTGGATAGCTAGTCCCTACCTCGTGTCTCACGTCTGCCACTTCTCTCCATCACCACGGCTCCTTCCTGGTCCCAGCCACCATCTCCTCTCTCTAAGATCTCTGCAGAAGCCTCCTACGTGGTCCCCTGACTCCCAGTCAACAGCTTGCATTTTTATCAT